CTCTAATTCTAATGACAAAGGAGAGACTTATAAAAATTACTTGAATACTCATAAAGAGAAATTTCATGAGTATGTCTTTGAGGGACATGGAGAGCCCCTTAGGAGATGGTTTTCTCCAGGCCTTGTGGAGCCCACCTGGTTTGCAAAACAAGGCAACATCACTAGAAAACATTCTGATTTATTTAGGCTTGTTGCAGCTGCCAATATGATGCTAGAGAAAAAGCCTAACCATATTCAACCAGAGGCCATTGGTCTTCGAGCCTGCGTATCCTACCCTAATGCTTTACTCTTGGCACAATCTTCCTTTGTTAATATTTCACGAGATGGTAATTCATTTCGGATAATTTGTATTTCTTGTAAATTAACAAATTGTATCACTTCCTCGGAGTCGAAAGATTTGGGAACTGTGATTATAGTCCGGCGACCTCCTTTTGTCATGTTGCCTGTGGAACTAGGCCCTGAGACTTGGTATGATAATTCAGCCTTACAAGTATTGAATACTTTGAGAGATTTGATTCGGCTGAAACGGTTTGTTGCTGCATTGATTTTGGGCATTACTGCATTAATTTCTATAATTACTACTTTTGCTGTTGCAACTACAGCTCTAGTTCAAGAAATTCATACTGCTCATTATGTGAATACTCTCAATAAGAATATTACTATGGCTCTGCTCGAGCAGGAGGCTATAGATAAAAAATTAGAGTCAAAAATTAATGTTTTAGAAGAAGTGGCTTTGGCCTTAGGACAAGATATTTCTAACCTTAAGACCACAATGTTTGCTTGCTGCCATGATAATTTTAAATCCATCTGTGTTACTCCATTACCTTATAATACTTCTCAGCCTTGGGAAAAGGTCAAGGCCCACCTGCAAGGTGTCTGGCAGGATACAGATATTACTCATGATTTAGATTCTCTACAGAAAGACATCTCAGCTGTGAGTCAGGCCCATTTGCAGATAGGAGGTTTACAAGACCTAGCTTCAGAAATAAAAAAGGAAATCAAAGATTTAAATCAGATGGATTGGCAGCAATATCTTATAATTATTGGTGTGCTTATTTTACTAGTGGTGCTTGTCATCTTTCTTTTCCCGTCTCATTAAATGTCTCTATACTTCCGTAAAAACAGTGCAACAGGACGTGTTCGAACTTCATTTTAAAAACAGAAAAGGAGGAACTGCTACGCCCACAGCTGTGACACCTGTGTAGCTGTAGCAAAGCATGCCGCTGCACTGGGGCCCAGCAGCTGAAGGGTTGAGGTTAGAGCTTCCTGGAACGAGGCCTCAAGCGGTTCCCCCACAATCAGCAGTCGTCATGAAGCCTGAGGATTCCAGGAGGCCCTGGAGGACAAGATGGCCTTGATGACGTTCCTTTTTGGCACTAATCATGCTTTTTCTCTGTATGTCTTTTCTGTGTCGGGGGGGCGTTGGTGGACAGCCTCTAGGTGGACCCCTGAGAGTGAAAATTACCTAGAGCTGCTCCCATATACGGGAGGCTATGATGTAGTAGGGAATAGGTGGGTGAATCATGAAGGAAAGAAACAACTTTGGAGTCATTTGCCTTTTATGGAAAGGCTAGCCAGGACTACAAAGACAGCAGATCATAGAAAATATGAAGCCAGCCCTAAGGTATTGGTATAGAAGGGTATATGGCAACTGGAAGGATAAGTGGATATATAGGAGTGAGGAAGAAATAAATGAAATTATATAAAAGTATATAGAGGGTGAGTTAAACCTTGGCTGGTAAACATCTGGTTCCCACAGATGTGGTCTTTGGCGCGAGACAGATTTCACAAAATTCTGAGATCATGCCCTTAAGCAACAACCGAAATGAACTCCAAGCTGCGGAAGTGATACACAGAAATAGATACTGATGTACTTTGTTATTGTTTTTTGCTGACTCTTAGTAATTGTAAAAGTTAAAAGTCTGATGTAACCCCCTGCCAAGTTCCTTGATTGTAAAAGAATATAAGCACTGATTTTGCAGAAGTAAATCTGCAGCAGCACATCAACACATTGTGTGTCTGTCTGTCATTTTCCTCGCCGATTCCTGACTTCTCCTCGAGCCTTCTCCCTGGTTCTCCCGCAGTGGTGGTCTCCCTCTGGGTGGTCTGCGGCAGGTGGTGCCCGAACAGGGACCTGAAGGACAGGTAATCTTTCCCTCTTTTCTTTCTCAGAAGTCAGGTACGGTTCTTACCAGGGAGCTGCAGTCCCGCCGGTAAAGGATCACCGGTTAAGAGTAAGTAATCAAGGAATCATGGGGCACGCATTGACTAAGAATGAAAAAATGTTGGTTACTATGATACAACGCATGTTAGCCAAATAAGGGTTCCGGACATCAGTTTTAGATGTGGAACAGTTTATTGAATTTCTAAGAAAGACTAGCCCTTGGTTCGTTGAGGAAGGCTCCTTGACTTTAGATGAATGGAAGAGAGTGGGGAAAGAAATGCGTAAATATGTACAGACCAATGGCGAAAAGACTCTGCCCCCTCAAGCATTTCAATTATGGTTTCATTTGAGAGATCTCTTGTCAGAGACAACCCCGTTTCAGGGACTTTGCAGGGAAACTGCTTCTGATCAGGGGGAATCCCCTATTTATGATGAAGTGGGTCAGGAGGAAGGAGACGAGGAAGAACGTATGCCGCTTACTGCCTCTGCTCCTCCTCTGCAGTATAGCACTAGGATTATAGAAGACAATAATGATGACTGGGGTCTTGATGATCAACAAGCGGAGCAGGAATGGGAAGACGGTTATCGGGATCACTCTGATAATCCCCGATCCCTTAAGGTGATTGGCGCTGTGGCCAGTCAGCGGCCCATGCCAAAACCCAGGAAACATCCTCCTTTGCCACCTGTTGGCTTTCAGGGAGCTATGGCAGAGGCACGCAGGACGGGGGATGCCTCTTTTGGGATCTTCCCTGTAACAGAATCATGGGATGATGAGGGTCCTGTATGGGAGCCCCTCTCATTAAAGGTGTTAAAGGAACTACAATCTGCAGTAAAAAGTGTTGGGGCTTCTGCTCCCTACACACTGCAGGTAGTGGATGTGGTTGCCAGCTCTTGGTTAACACCCTATGACTGGATGCAAACCGCAAAAGCCACTCTCAGCCCCGGAGATTATATCCTCTGGAGGACTGAGTATGAAGACAAGAGTAAAGAAACTGTGGTACAATCCCTTAAGAAACGTGGCCCTAAGCCCACTATGTCAATGCTTATGGGGACAGAGGATTACGCCACCCCACAATCACAGACCAAGATACCTAGAGATATCTTGCAGTTGATAACAACCAACGCCGTACAATCATGGTGTAAGATTCCTCCTCAGGGAACCAAGGGAGGAGCATTGGCTAGCATTAGGCAAGGTACTGAAGAACCTTACCCAGAGTATATAGCTAGACTTGAGGAAGCTGTTTCTAGAATGCTCCCTCCCTCTGAGGGAACGGACATTCTTTTAAAGCAGTTAGCATGGGAAAATGCCAATGCTCTCTGTCAGGATCTGATTAGGCCAATCAGAAAAACAGGAACCCTGCAAGATTATATAAAAGCATGCCAAGATGCCTCACCGGTTGTAGTGCAAGGAATGGCCTACGCCACAGCAATGAAAGGACAGAAATT